CAAAAAAAAAAAAATAAAAAAAATAAAAAACTCCATTGAATTTGGATGTCTATGTTTACTAATATAATGAGCTCATTCACTTATTTCTTAATCCCACTACTTTACTTAATTAATTATTTTTTTGGCATTTTACTTAGGAATAGGATTGCCTCCCATCCGGTCCCCCTAGCTGGCTAGTGTTATTGGGTCTCAAGGGGCCCACCACAAGAGCCATTTTGATGATTCTGATAATTCATCTTGTAAGGATTTTCGAATAGATTATTCATACAAAACCAATTAATAAACAATCTATTTTCAAAACCATATTTTCAGTTTATTTTTTAAAAGATAAATATGATATGGTCATGCAGATATGACTATCCGATTAACTAGATTGTTTTCTCCCATGAATGATATGCTCGAAGGTTTTTATAAAATAAACAATTTAAATCATCGAAATGAATCTGGTGATGAACCCACCAAAACCCAACAACATAGTAGAGTTGAAATATCTAACCGAAGATAAGCCTGTTCTATTTATTTACAATTACATCAGACAATGTGTGGTAAAAATACATGTGCCAATTCCAAACAAGCAAATAATCACAATTGCATTAAGTTAAATTAGCTAATCATTCAATTGAATTGATTTAAAGACTCAATAGCTAATTATAAGCTTAATCTTCCCATTATGTTGACATTATTTCACTAATGTCAAAACGCAAGTTAAGCATCTCATGACAAGTAAGTTGTTGCAATTATCACTATTCATCATAACAAAAATTAACCTTGAAATATGTAGAAACCACCAAACAGCCAATGCAACTACTAAAATAACATAATTTACATGCCACCTTTAATTTTATATTGAGACTCCAAACACATTGAAGAGCTTTGTCCCCAGTAGTGCCCTTGATATATAGCAGTTGTTTGGTACAATTTATACATTAGCTTATAAATATATATTTTTTTGTTTTTAAAAAATTTGTCAAAGTATTTAGCATAAATTTTGTTTAGAATTTATGAGGCAGAAACAGGTTAAGTAAATTATTAAAAAATTGATTATTGAGAAGTAGGGCATAGATACCTTTAGTTTTTGATTATTAACTTTTAATTTGTTAGAAGATATAACAAACAAGCTCAAAGTCCTCTATTTCATACATATCAGAATAATTATCGCATGAAATTCAAACTCATGACTTGCACTTCTAAATTTGCTTATCACAGCAGTCACATTTATTTTAGTATCTTGTTTTTTTTTTTTTTGTTTTTCTCAGTGACCAAGCGTTCGGGTCAACTTGGAAGGAACACACTCCTAGGCTCCAAGTTACACCCATTAGACCAACTCTTTAAAGTTAATTACAACTCATTTATGAATTGATTATTTTAATTGACTTTTTAATTTTTTACGGAAAAACGTATAAAAAAATAAAGAGAATGACTCTGTTTGGAATGATTTCCAAACTATATTTCTATCCCCACATTCCAACATGATGTTTGGATACTACGCTCAAATCACATTTCCACAACATTTACAAAACTCTGCACAAAACTCTATCTGAGGCATGATTTTCAAATTTGGCATAACCGGTCGTCCTACCGGCTGACCGGAACGGCACAAATTTTTTTTTTTTTTGCAATTGACATATGTTAATTTTTATATATTCGAAAAAAATATTTTCTGAATTTTTAATTTTTTTTTATGTGCTTTAATAGAATTTTGAGTTGTATGTTTGGTTATGAATTGTAAATTTTTGTATCAAATATCATATGTCACATCAAAAATTCCCCACTCAATTCAAAACTCTTTCATCAAACAAAATTTTCACACTCAAATCATAATTCCAAAACTCACAAACTCAAAATACAACTCATACTCTCAAATCATATTTACAAAATTCTACCAAACGCAACCGTGATAACTTGGTTTGGCTTTGGCTTGTTTTGCAAAGCTAAGTTTTTAGCCAAAAAATTAAAAAATCACTTTACATCATTCTTTTTATTTTATTTTTTTATAAATCTTTTCGTAAAAAAGTCAAAAAACTAAGTAAAATAACTAATTCCGAAACGACCACTCCCCAAACAACCCCTTAGTCTTATTACACACACGAAAAAAACAAAAATAATGAAAACTTACAAGACATTTTCACTAATTCATAACAGTTTTTATTGAATTAATTTTTTTTTATCATTTTTAAAATATTTTTTTTACACAAATTTAAATATTAAACACTATTTTAGATTCACCTTTTTAATAATAATAAAAAAAAAAGTTTGGAAGTTTCATGTTCAGTAGGGGTGGGCGCGGGTCGGTTGCGGCCACGGAACCTCCAATCCGCCACCCGTCCACCAGATTGGCGGATTGGAGAAAATCAATCCGCATCCGTCCGCTAATCCGACGGATGTGGATTGAGCGGATTGGCAATTTGGCGGATGGATGCGAATCAGTTTGGCGGTTTAAAATTTTATAAATTTTCAACATAATTCAACTTATGCACTTCCTCAAAAAAAGAAAAAGAAAGTATTATAGTCAATGACTTAAAAAAATATTACAATCACTGCATGCTTCATCCAAAATAAGAAAGTTTGAAACTTTAGAATATCACAATCACTGCATGCCTCATCCTTATACTACAACCACAGCATGCCTCATCCACATAAAGTATTACAATCTGTGGTGCTTAAAATATAAAAACGATTCAAATCACCAAAACCATGAACCGAGCGGTAGTAGAGATTGTGTGTCTCTGTATTGTTATATCTATATTTGTTTTTGAAAACAAAAACCAACCAGCATATATCATATTTTCTATTTATTATTTTTAGAGATAGATTTAAAAACCAAAAAATATAGATAAATAATACGTTTATTTTTTTCAATTCAAAAAAGATATTCAAGTTGAAAACTTTTTTTCAACATAATATTTAAACTCTTTTTTAATTGAAAACACAAACAGAATATTTAAACAAACTGAAAACACAAAGTCTTATAAATTACTAGGGGTGCTCGCGGTTTGGCGGTTCGGTTGCGGCTAAAGGAATCTCAAATCCGCCATCTGTCCGCCAGATTGGCGGATTGGAGAAAATCAATCCGCAACCGTCCACTCGTCATCACGCATCTGTCCAAAATGCGGCGAATCGGTTCGGTTCGGTCGTTTTTAGCGGATAGATATATCCGCTGCTCACCCCTAATGTTCAGAGGTTTGTTCCCCACGAAGGTGGGGGGTAAGGAAGGAAGGAAGGCGTGCAAAAACTGCTTTTTGATCTTCTTCTCAACTGAAGACTGTCCAATTAAAAAGCAAACCAAACACACAGCCACCAACCAATAACACTTTTCTTCTTTAGTTACCCTTTTTGTTTTGGGCTCCCTCACTTTTTTGCAGACTTTGTAAAAGTCACCCTCACAGTTTAACATTACACTTTAACTCGGAAGGGTAAGGTCATGAGTTCGAATTATTTTAAAGAGTGGTTAGAGATTTGTCTAATTGTTAAATTTAGAATTCTGAGATTAATCAAGTACAAGTTAATTTGGATACACTGTTATCAAAAAAAATTTAACATTACAATTTTCTCTCACCTATGTATGTATATTGACAAATGTTAACAAAATATTTTGCGAAATTGTTATCAACATCGGAGTAAAAATAAATGAAAAAACTTAAAAAATATTTTGATTTCTGTGACAAATAGTTGCTATTTTTTTTTCCCCCTCTACAGCACAATTGACTTTTTTTTTCATTTAACTCTCCATGAGCTAGTAGGCAATTTTTTACGACTACGATTTATTGTTAAATGAAAGTGTCCAAATTAAAACAAGACTCACTTCAATGATATGACAAGTGCCACATAAGTAAGTACTCTTTGGCCATGTTTATTTGGACGAACTGGATTAGTATTCCCATGACTAATAGTCCTAGGACTACCAATCCGTTGGATTATGTATCCTCTCTTAACTAATAGTCAAGTTTAAAATAATTAATCCGTACTTCAATTGTTTAACCAAATATTAGATTAATAATTTTATTGGACTATTAATCCAATCCCAAGCTCATATCCACCCAAACAAACATGGCCTTTAGGTTTTATTAGATGGTTTTTAAACTTATTTTTTTATGAGTTTATTTATTTATTTTTAGTGGTATAAATTTGTTGAACATAGTTATTTTATTTTAAAGATTGTTAAGACCAAAAGGCTATGGGCCCTTTTGGGGAAATGACTTTTAACTTTTAATCTGTTTTAGGTTACATTACTTTTTTTTTATTTTTTTATATATTTTTTCAAAAAAATTAAAAAATTAACTTTTAAACAATTTTTTAAAACAATCCTATAAACAGTTAAAAAAAATGATTCTTAAAAAAGTCTCCAAATGGCGTTACTCCACGCAACAATTTTAGTACATTTGGACGTTGAGGATCTTCTGTCGGACTTTTTCGTATCTTTCTATCTTAAACTCCATTTCTATCATAAGATTAAAATAAAAAAAGATAAATCATATAATTAAAAAATAATATGAAACAAGAGGGACAAAAAATTTGGGTCTCATTTTGGGGAGTGAGAGTGAAGAAAAATCACTAATTAGTACCTCAAAATAGTAATAAATAATCTCTGGTTGAGGGGGTGGGGTCTAAAAAAATGGTGGTTTAGACTTTAGGGCAGGTGTGTGCGTACGTTGTTCGTGGTCAAATTGCATGATTTCATGCAGAAAGAGAAAGTGTTAGATATATAATAATAGTAATTATTATTATGAAACAAAAAATCAAAAGCATGCAAGAGAGAGAGAGAGAGAGAGAGAGAGAGAGATATGAATGAGTGATTGAATTGAATTGATATATAAAAAGATGCTTCCAACAACTTATTATTGCAATTTACAAGTCCATGTTAGAGGAATCATGAAAGCTGACAAACATAATACATCTCCACATACCCCTTTTCTCTTCTTCTTCTTAATTTTTTTTTTAAAAAAAAAATAATTATTAAAAAAATTAAAAATTGGGTTCTGCACTCCATTAAAAAGCCTCTCATCACCCCTTCTAGACTCCACTCCGCACTCTCTCTCTCTCTCTCCAAATGGCCAACTTGTTCACTTCATTCACACTATGGTTGATCATAGTATTGTGTACTCAAACCATGCATGCTATGCCACTTTGGCCTGGTGGAAGATCAACCAGGTTCTATGACTTCAAGGTTCTCTCTCTCTCTCTCCCCCCCAAGTAATGCTATATACTTGGAATTTTTACTATAAAAAAAATAGTATATAATTCAAATTTATTCTAAATATAATCTCTTCCATACAAGAGTGAAATTTGTAAATATTTTTTTGGTAAATTTTTAGACACAAATTTGGAGTACGTAAATTTTAAACGATTGTTACGCTTGTTTCTATAGTTCTATAAATAGAAAATGCTATTCTTTTAGACCTTTTCATAGATTTGCTCACAAGAATGACATAGTAGTATTGTAAATAAACCGCCTATTAATAAGTTTTTGATTTCAAAGTGACAGGCCTACAACTCAATTTCTCATTTATAAATTTTTATTTATTTTTTTATATAAGTTTTTCTGTTTGTATGTCATTGTCCTCTAAATAGTTTGATACTTGGTAATAGTTACAAACCATGAAAATCACTAAGCTCTGCAATACAAGGGACATAGTCACAGTCAATGGAATGTATCCTGGACCTGTTGTTTATGCTCAAGAAGATGATAGAGTGATCATCAGAGTCACCAACCAATCTCCCTACAATGCCACCATCCACTGGTAAAAACCCTAATTTCCGTGCATGATCGTTTTAAATAACAACATTCAGTATCGATGATGTAATCATATATCTGTCGATATTAAATAATATATCATTATTAGAAATCCAAAATCCCGATACGTATTGGTTGTCATTTAAACCCCTGGTTCCATCTTAACATATTTTTAGATCATTGTAGGGTAATGTCTTGTTGATTTTTCAGGCACGGTGTCCGACAGAGGTTGTCATGCTGGTCGGATGGTCCTTCCTACATTACCCAGTGCCCAATCCAAACGGGACAGACGTACACGTATGAATTCACAATGCTGCAGCAAAAGGGCACATTTCTTTGGCATGCTCATTTTTCATGGCTAAGAGGGACTGTTTATGGTGCCATTGTTGTCTACCCTAAAACTGGAGTCCCATACCCTTTTAAATTCCCTTATGAAGAGCACATCATCATCCTAGGTAAAATCTCTGTAGTCCTACCAAATTGTCACTATTTATTAAGGTAGCCAAGCTCATTTTTGTAATTAAACTTAATTTGCTAAGTTGCATAATACAAAACTTGAGAATCCTAGAACTCAAAAGAGTAATCCAAAAAGTTGATTAACATCTTGTTTTACAATTAAAAAAAAAATTTTAAAAAAAAAATGAAAGAAAGGAAAAAGTAACAACTTTTTTTTGGGATTCTTTTTCTCCATTTTTGCTAGATTTTTTTCAATTTTGTATTTTATTTATTTATTTATATTTTTAGGGTCTTCTAATAGGACCCAAAAATGATTTTTTCTTTAAATTTTTTTTTTAATTTTTAAAATTCACTAAAATAAGGTCCAAAAAAATAAAAATAAAAAACTGTTAAAAAAGTTACTGCTAAACCCATTTTGAAAATAAAGAGCGTAGACTAGATTCATTTCCTGGTCATTTTTTGAATTATTTTCTCGGATTCCTTGCACTTTCCTTTCACTTATTGGTTCGATAGTTGATTAACAGGGGAGTATTGGTTACGAGACCTTGTACAACTTGAGCAAGCAACTCTGGCGAGCGGCGGCGGTCCTCCACCAGCGGATGCTTTTACGATTAATGGACACCCAGGCCCCAAGTACAATTGTTCCAGTAATGGTATATTACACTTCGCACTAAAACTCCAATTTTACTTTCATTCATCCACTTCTCGTCAAAATCTTGTATTTTTGGTTAAATTACAATGTTAAAGCATCCGCCAATAAGTACTGTTAAATTTAACTATTTTACGTTCATCTTTCAAATGAATTTGATTGAGAATTGACACTGAAACTTGATTGGAGGTGTCAAATTTTAACTGTCACAATTAAAGAGGAATGTAAGTCAAAGCATGCGAAAGATTGTACTTTTTAGAGTGTATTTAAAAGCACCCGATAAAGTATGAGGGTGAAAAATGTAAATTACACATTATATGATATCTAAACTCTGATTATGCCTACAATTGTTTTCAGTGACACGGTCTAGGTCAAACAAGAAGTTTCAATCAGCTGTCATCTTTAAAGTATTTTAAAATGCAATGACCACCTACTGAAAATGACTTTAAATTTCTTTTCTCTTTCTAAGATGCCAAACATATTATAGAAAAAGTGAGGGTGCATGACATATTAAGTGCATGCTTAGTAAAATATTGACTCTCTCACATATGATGTTGTCTCATCTAATAATATTCTCACTTTATATTAAAGTGTTATCTTTTTTTTTTATAGATATATTTTGATTGGTTAATTGATTATGGGTAATTTTATTGTTGTTTCAGATGTGTATACGATCAGTGTCGTCCCCGGAAAGACGTATCTGTTAAGGTTAATCAACGCAGCCTTGAACATGGAGAACTTTTTCGCCATCGCTAATCACAAACTAACAATAGTTGAAGCCGACGCCGAGTACACGAAACCGTTCACCACGGACCGTGTGATGCTAGGACCCGGTCAAACACTCAACGTCCTCGTCACTGCAGACCAGCCAATCGCACAATACTCCATGGGCATGGGACCTTACATGTCAGCAAGAAATGTCCCATTCCAAAATATAACATCCATTGCCTACTTCCAATACCTAGGTGCCACAGCAAACAGCTTAGCTCTACCAGCACCGTTGCCGAGCTTTAATGATAATCTTGCGGTTAAGACCGTCATGGACGGGCTTAAAAGCCTTAATTCCGTTAATGTCCCTAAAGAGATCGACACAAACCTATTCATCACTATTGGGATAAACGTTCAAAAATGTAAATCCAAGATGTCACCGCAGAGCTGCCAAGGCATTAATGGCGGGGTTATGGCCGCATCGATGAATAACATAAGCTTTATTAAACCTAACATTTCACTTCTAGAAGCTTATTACAAAAAGATTAATGGCTACTATACTGAGGATTTCCCTGGGGTACCCCTTAAATTCTATGACTTTGTCAATGGAGCACCTAATAACATCCCTAACGATACAAGTTCCTTGAATGGGACTAGGATCAAGGTCCTTGAGTATGGAACAAGGGTGCAGCTAATCTTGCAGGACACTGGGACAGTTACCACCGAGAACCACCCAATTCATCTCCACGGTTACAGCTTCTATGTCGTAGGGTTTGGTACCGGGAACTATAACCCACAAACCGCCAATTTGAACTTGGTTGATCCACCTTACATGAACACAATTGGAGTTCCGGTGGGTGGATGGGCCGCAATCCGATTTGTTGCCGACAATCCAGGTAATATATACACATACCATGTTTGATTTGCAGATAAAGAGCAGGATAGGACTATTCTATCACAGTATGAAATTATCCCACATTAGGATAATTTATCACGATGAATCTTTTTTTCTACATATTCATATATTTTGTCTCAAGGCAGGTGGGAGAGGAGTTTCATCACAAAATAACAAAAATACCCTTGATAAGACCATCTTTTCCTAGGATAAAATTATCCCACTACATTAGGATAATTTATTTATCCCGCATATTCATGATTATTTTGTCGAGGTGGGATAATACTTTTGTTGCAAAAATGATGAAAATACCCTAATTCAGGAATAACTTATCTCGCCTAATTCTATGTACAAATCAAACATGAATATGCATGCATATATGTGTGTCTGTGAGTAGATTCATGTTGCTAGGTTATTAAGGTAATGGATTGTTAATCTTGGTTGCTGATGATTTGAGTGTATTGTCGAAGGGGTTTGGTTCATGCACTGTCACTTGGAGATCCATTTGTCATGGGGCTTATCGGTGGCGTTTATTGTGAAGAATGGGGTGGGAGAGCTAGAGACACTTCCTCACCCTCCGGCAGACCTGCCCCGGTGCTAGAGAGTTGTTGGATTGTTGTTAATAACTACAAGATTTGACGGTTGTGAGCTTTCCAATGTGAAGGATTCTTTGACACGAAGTGTGTATCACAGTGTTTTCCATTTTCTTTCAGATTATGAGAAATTGTGTTGTAGAGGAAGTTAAAGTCTGGATGAAATAAAACTGCAAAATTGTTTTTTCCATCTGTTTCATTTTGTTTCTTTTCCATCGAAACAGCCAAAATGCCTGTTTCTGAGAACCGATATGAAACATTATTGAAATGTCAGAAATTCATATGTTTCCAATGAAGCATACCGGAACTCAAAGGAAAATGGGTTGTTACGACACCTATTAAGAATATTTAACAATGATAATTTCTGTATGCATCCTTGTCAAAAGAAATTTTGAGAATCAAGGACAGTAACAAATTTTATTAAACAATTTGAGTTACCATATAAGAGAGATTGCGAGAAGAAGATGACACAAGCATGATCAAGTCATATAATTTATGAAGCACAGGTACGGATACGGGTGCGAATACTTGTATTTGTACTAGTATTGGTACTAATATGGGTACGTTAATATAGTAAATCCAAAAAAAGTAAGGTCCAGATACGGCTTGGTATGTTTGTAAAAAAATACTTATTTTTAATTTGAAATAATGCAAAAATTGATTAAACGGTTTAATTTGTTACCATTAACATTTAATGCCAAAAGTACAAGCATAAACTAAAATTACACGTAAATATATTAAATAACTTACAATTAAAATCATGCTGCGTATAAAACTAAAAATAAAAAAAAAATCTAGTGAAATGAGTTTTATCTCTATAGTAGAAGAAAATATTGTTTTAACTAAGATACAGTACGACTTAGATAATATACTAGGTATGTTTAGATACATCAAAAATTAAAAAGAAAAAATTTAGATATGTATTTCATGTACACAGTACGTATGCAGAAGTACCATACGAAATACCATATGCTGGTAAATAGGTACGTCTGTAGTGTATCTCTATATAGTATTCTCACAACGGCATGTTTGTTGAAGTACCCATGCTTCATAGCATATAATATATCTTTTAGATTTAGATCATCTCCATCACAAGGCATAAGATTATGAAGTCTTTAAAAATTTAACTGTATATTATATTGATTTTATGCTTCATAGCATAAGATTATTATGCTTCTCCATCACAATGCATGAGATTATTATGCTTCATAGCATAAAATCAACCGTATATTATATTGAATTTTAAAATCTTCGTTAGCTATTTTTTAATTTGAAATACAAATATGTTGATGGGAATCTTTCACAACCATTGATAATGTAATGGAGATCATAATGGTGATGATCCACATCATCTTTCATCCCTACTACTACTGCAATTTAACTTTTTTCTTATATTTTTTTCTTATAGTGATAAACCTCTTCCCCAACTAAGCCTTTATACCTTCTTTAATTTATTTTTATGAGTTTCCAATATTTATTGATGTCAACATAATCAACTATTTAATTATTGCGAATGTATTAATATTTATATAGGTTTTAGTTTTTGTTTCCAAATATTTTCAATTTATTTTTTCCCATTTTCCTCAAGGTTCCAATTCCAAGCCAACCAAATAGCATACCAAATCAAAAATTTGATCAATCATGATAAGATATACATATACAAGTATGGTATCTTTCTGTGTTAGGTGATAATAGACCTGCCCTAGATGGAGATGACTAGACTTGGACAAAACTAAATCATATACAACTCTTTGGATTATTTATATGGAAGTCAACTCTCTCTCTCACCAAATAAATAAACAACAATAATTCCAGCTATTGTATTGAAGACCTATGTTTAGGTGTTACAATACTAATCATAAAACTATAAATATTCAAATTGTGATAAATAGAGTCAGATCAGAACATGCTTATCAATGATTTTTTAGTGTTTTCTAGGGCATCCCAATACCATTGCATTATGACAGTAATGTAATGCCATGATTTAATCCATGGTATGAATATATGCATGATTGACATTCAAGAGATTGAAGTAAGAGCAAATTATTGAAATCCTACTCCTATTTAAGCAAATCTTCAACAAATTACGGAGAACAGAACACTGTAACCAACTATGCAACTACCTGTAAGATTAGTTTGACAAGTCAGGAAAGAAATGCAGAAAGTCATATGGAATCCAATAAAATGGGATCTTTGAAAGGTGGGTAGCTCCTAGCAAAGCTGGAAGTCAGATGGTATCACAATAAATTTTTTGGGTAAGAAGAATATGGAACCCAAATTAAGAAGAAAAATGGACATGGGGATTAAGGAGTACTCAGTAAATGAATTGCGGTGTCCGTTGGATGCAATTGAATGCTTTGAACTGTGCATAGTCAGATCAGATTGTCAACTTCCATAACCTGCATCAATGCACAATGACATTACAAAAAATGAAAGCATCAATCAGGGATATTAGTCAATTAGGTTGTGTTTCAATTTTCTGTTTTACATTTTCATTTTTTGGAAAACACGTATCTGTTATCTGCACAAACAAAAACCAAACTTATTATGATCCAATGAACCATGGGATTAGATAGTTTTCATAGTATCTTCAGAGACATGAGAGTGCAAGAAAAGAGAAATTAACCATATAAATAGGATTTTCAACAAACCCATTTTATTAAACCCATTATTTTCCTCCAAAGCATGGGTAGTACTAATTTTAAGGGTAGTACTAACCTTAAGTGTAGTACAAACAATGAACTCAACGAAGTACAACCATTATCTAAATTACTTAGTTTAATGCATTGGAGTAAAGTTGCAATCTATGAAGCACAAGCACAAACACGTGTTGGGCATGCAATTGCCATCTTAGCTTCCAATAAGCCATGCCATGCCTTGCAAATTTCGAAAATTTACGTGTCTGCATATCTGTGTTTTGTCATGTGTCCATGCTTCTTAGCTTGTGACAAATTGTGGAAATATTCATTCTTCTAGACTAAGGCCAAGTTTGGCATATTGCAAAAAAGCCAAAAAGCCAAAAAATTATTCAAAAAGTTAAAAAGTTAACACTATTCACAAAAGTCAACAATTATGGCTGCACAACTCTCAATCCGAATTTTTCAAACAGAATTTTTCCCTACAAACCAATTTTTACAATTTTTTATTATATATTTTTTCATAAAAAGTAAAAAAGTTAACCCAAACATCTATATTTTCTTCCTCAATTTTTTTGTTCAAAAAGACAAAAAGTGCACTTATTTAGGATACCCCAAACAACCCCTTAAATGTGTTCAACTAACAAGCCAGAATACTTAATCACATAATGAAAAGAATAACAGACTACATCTAACAGCCCAAGAGTCCTTAAAGCAAGGCTGGTACAACCAACTCTCATGGTAACATATAGTCTTTGGTAGCTATAGACACACAAGCAAATAGATATTTTTAAATCCGCAGCCCTTCTACTTTCCCAGCAGAGAAAAGAAAAGAACTGTTCAATTCCTCTCCTGGCAAGGCCTCTTGCTCAAATGAGTATTCCACAAATTCATCTGGGAAAGCCGCAAATTTCCTTTCTGAAGTTATTGGATTGGTTCTTCCAATGTTGCTTGAAATACTCATCTGGGCAAGATGCTTTGCATGGGAGGCTTGCATACATCCACTGCATCATCTTGAAGGGTCTTCTATAGACATAGAGGTACGTGAAGCCATTGCTACTTTTAGTACAATAACATTCTAAATAGTCCTATTGGTGCCCAATCCATAACATCATTAGATAGCACATTCATGCACACACAAATATTCATCATCTGGTCACAAAAATACATTTTCTTACAGAGTTTTTTCTTTTTTTTTGGACAATCGGTAGGAGGGAACAGGGGAAAGTTACATAGCGCAACGGTAAGACTTGAACCCAGACATCATGCCTAATAAGTGAGTATTGCATCCACTACGCCAATCCCTTGGTCTTTCGTACAGCTCAATAGTAGAAAATATTAGTAAATTGCATTACAATAAACCATCATTTATTCAGTGAACAATGGCAAGCAATTTCCATATTAAAATCTTATTTATTTATTTATTTGATCGGAAAACCTAAGAATCTTAATATCCAGGACAAAAGATTATGGATTGGTTCTTTCTGAGGTCCAAAACTTCTTTCCATTGGTCCTCTATCTGGATTTAAAGGTTAGCTTCTCATTAATCTTTAAATTCAAGTAATCAACCCGTACATGATTGTAAATTTTAGGGTGTAAAGAAATCAGCAGGGAACAAATACAAGAGCAGAGAAGAACTTGGAACTGGTCAGAGACTAGAAATAGCAAACAAAATGCATACGTAGAGACAAGTCCTCAGATGGTTGTTCACGTAGAGACGGAAGACAATGCCAAAAAAATCATAAGTAGTCTTACAAGGTCAAAAATCATAAGTTTTAGGTAGCCTTATAAGTTCAAAATAATAAAGTAAAAGCAAGTAAACGGGCAGTGTCAGTGCAAGAGGTTCCCACCACTGCTGGGTGGTCATGTGCTGATGCTAAAGAATACTGTCCCCGATGCTCACACATTCTTGCCAGAGTCAATAACCATTTGATGTTTTAGGTCAAAGCACCGTTGTTATGTGTCAATGATATACTTCTCCCATAATTCTTCTTCTTTGGTGAAGAAGGAAAGACGGAGGAAGAGCATAGGTAAAGAATCAATTCAGTGTCAACACTGGATGTAAATTTATATATTATATATATTGACACCAACAATTCCTGTTTCCAAACATGAAGAATGGTGGGTCACTACTGACTAGTGATAAGACAGTTTGATTTTCGAGTCTTCAACACAGTCAGCAGAGCTATTTGTGGCAAGTAAAAATAGTTTTGGGAGAGCTTACAGTTCATTGTACAAACCCATCAAAATCACCATCGCACAAAAAAAAAAAAAAAAAAAAAAGATGGGAGAAACAAAAAAAGAAAAGAAAACAGATCTTACAGAACCCGAGTGTTAAACTAACAGAAATTCCAACCAATTATTTACTTTAGGCACTAGGCCAGCAGCTGGAAGTGAAAGTTTGGTGAAATATATAAATATCAAAAATAAAATGTACTACATCAATCCAGGAAATGAGCTTGATAGATAGCTTTAAAATTTTGGAACTCGTATGTCTCAGATAAAACATTATTTTACGCTCTACTTCAGCAGCAAGGGGTGAAAGTGTTATATATAACAAATATAACAAAGAACAAAACTGTACTGCATCAACAAAAGACTCCTGAGCTTGACAGACAAGCTTCCAAAGTTACAGAAACAGACTCCTTTTTTTGACAGCATAAATACAACTGAGCTACAGGTTTTGTAGATTTATTTAATTTATTTTGACTTGGCATCTGATCCAATTTTTAGGATTATCTTTATTCTTGAGAAGTCTCTTCCAAAATTAGGACTCTAGGACAATATGAAATCAAACATTGCTTCAAGGAAATAGTATTAGGGACTCAGAAGGCTAGCAGATTGAGCATTTTGTTTAATAATTTCATTCGTCAAATTTCTGTCAACATCTCACAATTAAGCGGGTTCCAATTTATTTATTTAGTTTAAGGTTCACAAGAACTGGCTATGAAAAAACTTGGTTATCATCAGTTTCTTCAGCTGAAAAGGATGGTTGTGCTTGAGATAAAACCCGAGTTTATTCATACAAATCTGCTTTTGGAGTCTCCCCTCAATTCTTTCGTAGTCTATGGACTATGCTTGTGTCCGACAATATGAATTAGTGAAGCACCCAAAAAAAGAAAAAGAAAAAAATGATCAGCCGCCCGATGTTGGTTACAGTTTTCACTAACCTCTGCAATTTCTATCTTATCATAGGGGGGTGTGCTCATTCCTAATTTTATTCCTCTTAGCAATGACAAGAAATAATTTAGATACTCATTTTGGCTGTTCTCACTTAGTGATAACCTTCACTGTTATGCAATTATATTTACTTTATATTGAAAAAACAAATTGATTGTGTTGAATTATCAATGTGATAATTCAAATTAACAATGAATTTGAGCAGCAGCATTACAAAAATATGGCAGGTTTGGATGCTTTTATATGTACGTCACACAGAAGTGTAAATGCACAAACTTATATCAATCAAAAAAGGCTCTGGGTAATTAACTCAAACATACATTCTTCAACAATCAAAAAGAAAATCATACCCCCCCCCCCCCCCCAAAAAAAAAAAAAAAAAAAGGGGGTATATGCAGTGTTCTTGAAAAAGCCTCAGAGGGACACAACCCATCAACGACATCAACTATTCCGATGATTAATCCGGAAATTTTCCCAAATAGTCAGCAAAATACCAACATAGCTAAATCATAAAAAACATTAAATTTAAAATAAATTTGAAGCAAATTAAGTTTTTTTTTTTTTTTTTTTTAATGAGTCTTCACTGATGAGAGAAGATTAATCACAATAAATATATATAAGCAGCAAACCCCAGTAAAGATTTATATTACCTCTGCAAATGGGCAATGCTTGATAGTTAGTTGAGATCATCAATCTGCAATTTTTAAGTTGAAAATATGACTCCAAGTATAAAAACCCATCTCATAATTTAATCACAAGTTAAATTTACTCAATATTGTATTAATCAAACAATGTTTTCACATATATATATATACACACACACACACTAAAACTATTACATTAATTGATCAATACAAATTAAAACCCAAAACAAATAGAGCATAAAGAGAAAGAACCTTGCGAGTTTGGCAGTCAGTGCCGTGTGAGAAATTTCAAGACTTTCAAACACACAAACACAGACTCGATCGTCGATGAACGATTCGTAACACGCCGTTTGGATTGAAGGGTGAGAAAAATAAAAGAAATGGCCCTTTTTTTTTTACTATGAATGAGAGAAAAAGCAAAGCGTCGATTTGTGTTTTTATTAAGGAAAATTTACCCATAAGTCCTAGTTTTTAAACGTTCAACCATTTATTCTTAAAAGTTTTCTTATGCTCTATTTAGTCTCATTTTTACATCAATATGATGTGAATGATGTAAATGATCTGATGTTTCATTCTATAATTTCAAAATTTATTGAAATCTGATGAACATTAGATGTTTTTCATCCTATATTTTCAAACATTATTGAAATTTGATGAACATTAGATGTTTGAAATCCAATGTTTGTAACATGACTCTGATGTTATTAACATTGTATCTGATATTATTAACATTGTAATGGGACCTTTCAGTCTATAAGAAAACTTTTAGGACTAAACAGTGCATAAGTTATTAATTTGGGATTTATTGGTGCATCCCCCTTTTATTAAATTAATTTTTATTTTTTAAAAAATCAAATATGGTGATAATTTTGATATTATTATTAAATAAATTTATTAAATTAAGAAATTTAAAATTTAAAATATTTAATACATTAAATATATCGATTATATATTAAAATCTTAATAATTATCAATTATATAATAATCATCTAAATATATAATAAAAATTAATTTGATAAAAAATAAGGATATTTACACACAAGTTCTAATTTATTAACTTATACTCTATTAATCCCATTAAATTTTTAATAATCATAATTATTTTTTAAGTAATGATTATTCATCATTTTGATTATTTATAAAGAAATATGATGATTTGACATTTATTTTGATTTCAAAACTTTAAAACATCAACTTTCAAATTAAAAAAATTAAAAAAAAAATATGTGCAAAAAAAAAAAATTAAAGTTTTTTTTGAAAAAAATTGAAAATACTAAATTATTTTTTTGTGCAAAACTAAAAATTTTGTGTCTATAAAGGAGCATGATGATGGAACATTAATGTGTAAAATTAAAAAAATAAATATATTCTCAGTTTTAAAATTATAAAAAAAAAACTGATAATTTGCTCGGTTTTATTGAATAGTTGAATCAAACCAATAAGTAAAAAGGTCAAAACATTTAATCTCATGTTTTTTTTTATCAGTTAGTGAAATATTTATCTGAAACATTATTATACAAATTTGATAATATTCTTAGTTTTAAAAATTAAAAAAAATTGATAATATTATCAGTTTTACTAAATATGACTTATTAGTTCAAAAAATCTTAGATAAAACCTAAGCTACCATGACATTTGTAAATAGGAATTTTAGATAATTAACTCAAAAATTATCATTTTTACATAATTTTATTTTTGGTGGGTACAAATAATTTTTAAAAATTTTTAAATTTTTTTTGATATTTATTTTTGTCAAATTAGTTTACATTTTATCAAATTAACAATTTTTGTCCTTCAAATTAAGCAATGATATTTTTAATTGTCCTTATTTGGAACAAAATTCAAAATTCAAGGTCAAATGTGTCATAATTGAAAAGTTAGAGACCAAAGTAACATGAGTCCCAAACTATAAGGACTGTTAGTGTAATTTGCCTTTTAAAATAAGTTTTTAATTTTGAATTATATTTTAAAAAATAAAATTTTTAAATAAATTTTGGAAAAGACAGAAAAAGGTGGAGATCCGGGAAGATACTCATAACCGTGAGTAAGAATTCTAAATTCTAAAACTCTTGATAAGTTTTGGTCAGAAAGAGCAACACTGAAATTAGGATATATATCAAAATAGACTGGACCATGTGCTAAGCTGGTTTCCATAGTACCCATGAGAGATGCTCTCCAATTAGTACACCTACCATCGCGTAGAGTACACTGCATGCTGGTATTTTGACCAAGAGGTGTCAAAGGTTTCAAAGCTATATGTACAAGTCCTATGTGAATATATTTATATTCTTTGAAAAAGGGTATGAGATCCTGGACACTGAGTAAATACATTAATGTATCATTATTATTTACTGGAGCTGCATGTTCAAAGGTTTTAATAATCTTTTTACTAAAAAAATTCAAAGTACCAATCTTGTAGATGGCCTTTGGATCTACCATAGCTTAAAAGAACAAAATAATTTTTTTATTTTTAAATATAATTTTGAAAACTTGTTTGGGTATAAGTTTTTTTAAATATGTTTTTGAAAAAGAATTTTGAAAATTTTATTTGATTATAAATTTTAAAAAGGATTTAATTTTTTTTTTTTATTCCAAATCATGTTTTGAAAAGAGAACCAAACACTACCAAACCATATTGGGAGAGAGATTTGTACGTGGATATGATTTACACGAAATGGCCGCCTATACAATAGTAGAGACGGATATAATCGAGATTTTTTTTATCTTCTTTTATATTGCAATTTTGATATTATAAATATTTTATACCTATTCAATTTTTTTCACAAAATCTTACCATTTTTGGTGGGAATTTAAATAAGCTTCGTTTGGGAACAGGTTAATTTAGTAATTTTTTGGTTATTTGGCTAAAAAGGTAGGTAAAAAAAACTTGTATGTTTGGGATGACTTTTTGGCTAATTACGAAAAGATGTGCAAAAAGTAGAGAGAAAATAGAATTTTTGACTTTTTGGTTTGAGTTGTTGACTTTTTGGCTAATTTAGTAACTTTTTAGCTAATTGGCTAAAAAAGTAAGTCCCCAAACGGGGCCAGTAAGAGAATTATTTTCTCACAATTTCTCATTCAATTTTTTTTGATGAATGGTGTCCGAGCTAGTTTATGCACATCTCGAGTGATTTTGAAAGTTATGCAAAGCGTCCACGCCATGTGGATCATGTAAATCTCAAGTAGAATTTGCGGGCGTAGCCTCAAAAAGTTGATAGGATTGGATGTGATATTTGTGAGAGAAAAAATAATATGATGTTTGTGATCTCGGGAAAATAGCTGGGTTTTTTGTGGTTGGATGTGATGTTTGTGAGAAAAAAAGTGAAATGATTATAGAATTGAATGTGACATTTTGTTTGGATGCGTTTTTTTTTATTTTACAAAAAGTTTATCTTTTTGTAAAAAAAACAAAAAAAAGAAATCCGCGTTCAAGACTTCCCAAACACCACTATTTCTCATCAACTTATAGACCAAACATAAGAAAAAAGTTTACTTTCTCATCATTTCTTATTATTTTTCACCAAATCATCACATCCACACGAAAGAGTGGACAGGTTCAGATGGTGTGAAAATATAAAAATAAATAATATAATATATATATATTTTTGTGTAAAAAATATAGCAATATTATTTTTTCATCCATATAACTAATAAATTATTAATAAAAAAACTAAATATTATCTAAATTAAAATCTCAACAAATTCAATATAATTATATTAAAATTATGACCTTGCTGCTGTATTTTCTATAAACCTTGAGTGAGGTTAATGGAATTTATCCTGTTTATTTTTATTTTAGCTGTAGAGGGCTTCAATGAAATAAATTGGAAAGTGGGTTTATTTCAATATTGGGCCAGCTAGACATTATTTACAGTGGGCCAATTTTTTGTTCACTTTTACACAGCGCAGCCCATTTCATGTACACCACCTTGAACCAAAACAGTGGCTTTTGTTTAATACAAGGCAATCCTGCTGTATATACATTAGGGCCATGTTTGTTTGGGTGGACTTGAGCTTGGGATTGGACTAATAGTCTAATAAAATTATTAATCCGATATTTGGTTAAATAATTGAAGCACGGACTAATTTATCCTGTTTATTTTTATTTTAGCTGTAGAGGGCTTCAATGAAATAAATTGGAAAGTGGGTTTATTTCAATATTGGGCCAGCTAGACATTATTTACAGTGGGCCAATTTTTTGTTCACTTTTACACAGCACAGCCCATTTCATGTACACCACCTTGAACCAAAACAGTGGCTTTTGTTTAATACAAGGCAATCCTGCTGTATATACATTAGATGTGCTACTTGGACGGCCCAACCCAAGCCTAATCCAAAATTTTTTTAATGCTTAAATAATATAATTTTAAATTTAGGAAGAACCGACTAAAAAATCTTGTTAGAAAAATGGTTGCACACCAACAAGTTTCTTGATTTTTTGATACATCAAAAAAATCCTGTTCACTTCTAATTGTTATCACGAATTTCTATTTTTATTTTTTTATCATTTTAGCAGCGTTTTTATAAAAAGTGTTACTAATTGTTAATTTTTAGCGATAGTTTGAAAAATTCGTCATAAAAAACCATTACTAATTGTCATTTTTTAGCGATAGATTTAGAAAATCGTCACTAATTGTAAGTTTAGCGAAAGATTCATAAAATCGTCACAAAAAGTTTTTAAGTCCAACTAGTAAGATTTTTTAATATATACAAACACTTGTGGGACTTAATGGTGTATAGGTTCTTATAACATGACCTGTGAGTAATTAATCCTAAATTTAGTTGAGATTTAGGCTAAAATAAAATAAAATTTAAATGTTTTGAATGACCCCATTATTGGCCCAGTGATTATGTAATACTCTTTGTGGTGTGAGATCTCAGATTCAACTCCTATAGAAAGGAGTTTGATACTCTTTGTAATGGTTGTTTATTTCTCCCCATTATGGAGGTTGTTGTGATAGTTTATTTTGCTGTTGGGGCCTGGTATATTGGTTGTGTTAAGCTTTGTTGACTTTTTAATTATTATGGATTAATAATCTATTTAATAATATAAATATTTTTGTTACTTATAATTACTCTCGCATCGATTGATGAAAAAAAAAAGGAAAGAAAAAAAAGAAAAAGAAGAGAGTAGAAGAAGAATAATGAGCCCATTATTGAACTTTACCAATTTTCATTTTTTTTTGAGTTGATTATTATGAATTTATAAATATTATGAAAATTATACTAAATTAGATATTCAATTATGGTCTCTTTTGACTAAGGCTTACAAGTAGCTTATTTAGATTTTTTTTTAATCCAATAAGTTATGAAGTTGTTTTGTCATTTGTAGTAAAAAGATGACTTATTTTTTGGCTTACTTTAATATTTACTAAATTTTTTAAAATCTGTAATATATTTTTTTTAATTTTAAA